TCCCCCACATATATATATATATATATATATATATATATATAATTATTAGATACTCGATCAATAAGAAGTTTGACTAACAAAAATTATAATTACCAAAAAAAATTAGTTAATAATAAAAAAAAATGTGATTAAAACGACGTTGATAACGTTTCTCGATTTTTTTTTTAAGTAGGGTCGAGTTAGAGACTTAGAGTAATTCACCACGTCAACAAACAATATTAAAGAAGTTAGGATGAGGGAGCAACTACATCGATTTAAAAGAAAATAAAAAAATACGAGAACCAAACTCATCAATTTAAAAATATAGGATTAAGATCAAATTTAAAGAAAAAAATAGAAGGGCCTAAGATATCCCTTACCCATATTCTAGTGACGTTTATACAGATAAAGATTTTTTCTTCTTCTTTAGTTTCATGTTAATGGTTTATAATTAGGGTTAAAGGAAAACTTAGTTTCCTTATTTTGACATTTGTGCAACTTTAATCCTCATAATTTTAATTATGCCATTTTAGTTCTTGAATTTTATGAAATGATAAAATTGGGACTCTATAATTTTGAAATTAAAAAATATAACATAATTCTTTGACATGAAATATATTTTATTTTATTAATAGCCTGACGTGTAAATAATTAATGACATTGGAAAATTTCACATCGTAAACAAACATATAAACCACGTTAAAATTTATGTGTTTTAAATAATATATTAGAATGTCATTTTTTTTACAAAAATATTTACACATGTGAATGTTTTCTACATCATTGGTCAGTTATATATCACTATTAATTAAGTGAGAGGTAACTAATGTTAGTTAGTTCCGTTAGATTTTAGATATGAAATTAATAAATGGGCATTTAATACAACTTAGCAACAACAAACAAATCGCTTGATTAAAAATATATGAACCAAAATTGTACAAATACATCAAACATGCACTTAAGCCTTGTAATTATTTTTGTTTCTTGTGTACGTCCCATGTACTACGTAGTAGTTTACAATTTACATAGTAGAAGGCTAGAAGCAGCGCGTTTGGTTAAAAAATTGTGGTCAATCTTTGATTAATATAGTCAATTCGTATACCAGAAAGTGAAAGAGACCAATTCCAGAGTCTTTGGCCGGCTCAATCCTATGCTCTGCCTCGTCCACTTCGTATAAACATACAACTTCGTTTTTACATCGCTCATGTTTGTGTCTGGCTTCCGTTAATCGTTCGTCACAATAGCAACAGCGTCACACATTATTATTGCAATGAAAAAATCAAATTGAAAAAATAGGCCCAGAAAGCAACCCCAAACGAAGTGTGTGCGCGCGAGAAAAAAGTAGGACCCTCTATTAAGAAATGAAAATGGGATAAATAATTCATATATGGCTACCACCACTTCCATCATCTAGATAACCTAATGCCGTATTGAAAGCGAATATATATATACATCACTTGTTGATAAACCCTCCTTATATTATAATAAAACAATAACCCATGTCATCACCAAGAAGCAAAATACATAACCATCTCTAATTATCTTCTAGTTTTGGTCATCTTCTCAACTTCACTCTGCATGCACCTAACACAAATTTGAAAAATAAAATGCACCAATCCCGTCAGGTTTAAAGTCTGCTTTGTGCTTACGTGCTACGTTGCGTTGACCCTCATCCTGTTTTACGATACAATCATTCACTATGTTGTCAATTATTAATTACTTTTATGAATTTGAATTTATTTGCTTTAAGAGTTAAAAAGAACTCCCTCTGCGGGCGAAAACGAGAGATAGAAAGAATGGTAAACGATGAGGACAGGAGATGAAATAGAAACCACCTCTTCCCAAAGACTAGACCTAATAATTAACTAGTCATGTTCGTCCATATGCGCTTGCGTTTCGTTCAACATAGAAAAATTAAAATGCTCTTTAGACCGGAGTTGCAGCACTTTCTTGTTAGCTTCATTCAAAGTTTAATTTGACTAAAACCAATTCACAAAAATTGAATAAGCTCAGATAAGTGATCCCTGGTCATCCTACATTCAATTATTCAAATATGATTCAATTTTTTCCAATTAATTATAGGGCTGCAGCGTATAAAGAGAGTTTTAGTTGTGGAATTAAGCCTTATTTGTGTAGTTATTTATCAAATATTAAGTCTTTGTCGTATCTCACAAGCTAAAACCTTCCCTCTCCAGTCTCCACCAAATTCGGTCAACCAACATAAGTCTAGTTCGATCTTCAACCCAACTAAACTCGAACAAACCGTATCCGATTAAGCCTTCTCGTTAACCTGTTCTTTGCAATTTCAATCACTCACATAAAACACAATCAGAGGCAAACAAATTAAAATATTATAATTTAAACAGAAACAGCAGTTTACCCACTTGAAAAATGTCACCATCTCCCTTCCAAAAAGTAAGAATCTTCGTATTTTTTAATCCTAATTAACTTCGATCACACCAAAGACAAACTCCATACGCATACATATATATGATTCTAAACTCACACTTATGATAATACCGCTCATCACATATTCTTTTTTTTTTTTTTCCTAGTCTCCATAACGTTTCGTTTATAATTCACCTCCTTTTTCGTTCCCCCGAAACATAACTGTCATAACGAATTAATAGTTATGTTTCCGTTTTTTAGTTACTTAAAGTTCTTCATCCTCTGTGTGGCCCTTTTTTGGCGTCCTTGCTTTCCCGCCAGGATCGTACCAGAATCCGTAACCGTCGTAACCTCCGAATCCGAGAAAACCGAAACGCACAACGCCACGTGGCACGACTTCTCGAAATTCCTGCACGCGGAGCGAGGCAGCCACGTCAGCGGCATGTCGGAACTGAAAAAGTACTTTCACCGCTTCGGCTACCTCTCCCTCCCCGAAACGACGCCGAATTTCACTGACACCTTCGACTCGCAGTTCGAGTCCGCGCTGGTTCATTACCAGAAGCGCCTCGGATTGCCGGTCACCGGAAAACTCGACTCCGAGACTATCTCGGCGATCGTGGCGCCGAGGTGCGGCGTCTCCGACGCCGCCACGCACGGAATTCACGCGACGCGGCGGTACGCGTACTTCAACGGGAAGCCGCGGTGGACGCGCGGCTCGCCGATGACGCTGACGTACGCGTTCTCGCCGTACTACACGATCGAGCGCGTGAGCGCGGCGGATATACGCGTGGTGTTTGGGCGCGCGTTCGCGCGGTGGGCGGCGGTGATTCCGGTGAGTTTTCAGGAGACGGCGGAGTACGAGAGGGCGGACATCACGATAGGGTTTTATTTGGGCGATCACGGCGACGGAGAGCCGTTCGACGGCGTTTTGGGGGTTCTGGCACACGCCTTCTCCCCTCAGAACGGGAGATTCCACTTGGATGCGGCGGAAACGTGGTCCGTTGATTTTGAGCGCGAGGAGTCAAGGGCGCGCGGCTCGCCGATGACGCTGACGTACGCGTTCTCGCCGTACTACACGATCGAGCGCGTGAGCGCGGCGGATATACGCGTGGTGTTTGGGCGCGCGTTCGCGCGGTGGGCGGCGGTGATTCCGGTGAGTTTTCAGGAGACGGCGGAGTACGAGAGGGCGGACATCACGATAGGGTTTTATTTGGGCGATCACGGCGACGGAGAGCCGTTCGACGGCGTTTTGGGGGTTCTGGCACACGCCTTCTCCCCTCAGAACGGGAGATTCCACTTGGATGCGGCGGAAACGTGGTCCGTTGATTTTGAGCGCGAGGAGTCAAGGGTGGCCGTTGATTTGGAATCTGTGGCCACGCACGAGATTGGTCACGTGCTTGGGTTGGGTCACTCTTCGGTGAGGGAAGCGATTATGTATCCGAGCCTGAGCCCCAGGAGAAAGAAGGTTGACTTGAAGATTGATGACGTGACAGGGGTTCAAGCTCTTTATGGCTCTAACCCCAACTTTACTTTTAGCTCTTTGTTGCAGTCTCAAAATTCGTTAAACGCTGCCGTTGGATTGGAAACCGGTTTCTCTATGTGGACACTCGCCTTGTTCATATTATTTTTATTTGCTTGATTTTTTTTATACATGTATTTTCATTCATTGATCATATGTGTGAAAAGAGAAAGAAAGGATAGAAAGTAAAGTGCAATCACATGGGCAAAACCCTAAGTGATTCATCTTATATGGTGGTGTCTTAGATTTTTGGTACAATAGATATTTATATACATGATACAACTTTTAAGAAGGGAAAGGGGAATGCACTTTTGATTGGATTGAAACAACATCGCAGGACAAGACCCATGGAAAAAGGGCAAATTGAAAATGTTGGGAGAATACATAAGAAAATCCATGAAGAATATGGAACAAGATTCCGTTAAGTGTATGTCCAGTGGGGGAACTAAGGAATCTCTTTGTGTCGAAGATATGTATAAATATAACTAAATCACATGGACGTTACGTAATAGGTATCAATGTTAACTAACATTCCCGCCCAAGGCTACTTTCTTCTTACTTGGGTCCAAATGAAACTGATCCAATGGAGTGGTCCAACTTGACAATGAGGAATTATTCCTCATCCATTGTTCATGAGGATTGAGGATCAAGTAGTTAGAGACGGAAAGTAATACCTGAAAAGACACTCTACAGTCTACACTCTAAACTCAAGTTGATATAAAAATGAAATTAAAAAAAAACAAATATATGCCTAAATATCTTTTAATATATAATACCTGATTGGAAATTTGGAAAACTCCAATCAGCCAATATGGATAACGAATAAACTAAAGTCTGACGAAATTTAGTAATTTTGAAATTGGCATATATATCCCCTTTCAATTCTTATGACACAGACAGTGAAACATTGTCCAGTCCATTTCAAGGCCCAATAATTTGTAATAATTTTATAAAGAAAAAAACAGTATATTGATGTTGAGTAATATATCAGGGTTTATGTAAAAATATAATATAATTTTGCGTATATATAAATCTAAATTAGCATCACATACACCTTTAAAAAATAGTATAATAATGATATAAAATATTGTTTATAATAATATCTTTATACATAAAAACGTGACTTGTATATATTATATAAAAATATATGTGCATATGTAATGGTAAATAAAAAATATATATTTTAGTTTCAAATCCGTAAACTCTTTTGTGGGGGGTGGGTGGAAGTGGAATCGTGAATTTTGATAGGAGAATCGAGCAAAGAGCACCCCTTTGGTTTATTAAAACCAACAGGTACTCTCTACTTCACGTCTCTCTTCCTCCAATAACTTTCCTTTTCACGTTTTCTCACCAATTGTAATGTAAAAACAACTCAACTTTTGGTCATCTCTCGTTTAGAAAATCCGAGAAAGATGCGACATCTATTTCTATCCAACTAGAACCCGCTTCTTTCCTAACTCTTTTCGTACTCATGAGTCCCCTAGTTACATTTGCATCTTCCCATCTTCCAAAAGATGCATACATATTAGACATCACCACATAAACATAACCTTCATCCTTCTCCAATTCAATCACCTTGGCAGCAGCGATCTCTGCTACTTGTAAATCTGCTTGAGTTCCACAAGCACCAAGCAAAGCCCTCCAAACCACTCCATATGACTCAAAACCAAGTTCATATATCATCCTTTCTGCTCTCCACAACTCTCCCTTTTGCCCCATGAGCCGTATCATTGAACAACAATGCTCAATGGATGGTGCAATCTTATATGCGTCAATCATAGATTCAAAGTAACTAATAGCAACCTCAAATGGTATTCGATTATGGGAACATGCTGATATAAGGTTAAGAAATGTGATACCATCAGGTTTCATATCTCTTACCATTTTCAGCAACTCAAAGAGGTGGATAACTTGCGCAGAATCACCATTGCGAGCATAGCCAGATATCATTGCGTTCCAGCTCACTAAATTCTTGTTAGGAAGTGCATGGAAGATTGATTCAGCATTCTTAACCTGGCCACATTTTGAGTACATGTCAATTAGAGCACTCCCAACAACTACAGAAGCAAATAAGCCGCACTTTATTGCACAGCAATGAATCAGCAGCCCCCACGTTAAGGCAGACAGACCAGCAATTCCATCTAAAATGATTGAAAATGTGAACTCATCCATTTCTACATTTCTTGAGTGCATTTTACAGAACATATCCAAAGCTTCTCTGGCTCGGTTCCTATTCACAAATCCTGTAATTACAGAATTCCAAGAAGACGAATTTGGACTAGGAAGGCTTGACAAAATCTGAACAGCATCTTCCATTTTCCCCGCCTGAGAAATCCCATTTATGAGCCCATTATAGGAAACAGTATCAGGGTTGGGCATAAGATGCAAGAACTTATAAGCAAGTCCAATGTGTCCGCTGTTAGCGCTTGCTGCTATGACTGAATTCCAAGAAATAACATCCTTGTCAATGATCTCATAGAACACCCTTACACCATGTTCAACAGACCCACATTTCCCATACATGTCAATCAAGCAATTTGCAACCACAGTGCCATTAGCCATGCCAAGTTTCACTGTCTTGCAATGAATTGAGCTTCCCAGTTTGAAGAGACTCAGTTGGGAACAAGCAGACAAAGCAGACGTAATCGAGAATGCGTCCGCGCAAACGTGGGACCTTTCTAGGCCGGTGAAGAAAGACAAAGCGTATCGAAACTGACCAGCATGGACATACCCAGATATCATAGTGTTCCAAGTAACGACGTTCGGTTTAGGAATTTCAACAAACAGTTTGTGTGCGGCACTAAAAGAGTGCATTTTGACATAAAACTTAACGAGAGAGGTGGAGACATGGATGTGGGAAAAATAGCCTGTGCGTAAAACATAACTGTGGAGTTGTTCTCCGAATGATGGGTAGTTTAGGTCACTAGCTAGTCCAATTTGGTTAACAAGAGTAAAGGAATTTGGTTTGATTTCACGAGAGGCCTCAAATAAGGTTAATCCAGCTTTGGTTCCGCCTTGGGTCTGAATCCCAGGAATATCGACCCAATTCAAAATACTGTCTCCGATATTATGAATATGATTGATGGAAGTAATATATGCGACGGGTGATGGAAATGCAAGGGGACAATGATGTTTGTGACACTTTTGTGCTTCGTTGCAGAGAAACCTTCGCATGGCTTTCCCAACTACATTAGTTCATTTTTTATTTATAGGAGGTAAAATGTGTGTACGAGTGTAACCTGTTTGTTATATTTAACAAAATATCAAAGAAAGTGCTTCGAAAAGAAAAAAACCAAATAGTTAAAACGTAAAACTAATTGTATTAAGAGCTTAACTAAATAGAATAGCCGATGATTCTCCCATTACTATTATGATTTTACTGGTGGATTATAGTTGGTGCGTCTATATTTTATTTAAAAATTTAAAAATAAAATAAAATAATTAAAATTAAATAATAAAATAAATTATTAACAATTTAAGTGTTACATATACTGACAGATTCATATGACAGACAGTGGGGGCAGTTCCCAAATAACATACATAATAAAAAATATAATAGTAAAGATTGCCGGTATATTCTATTTAAGATTTTTATTATAAAATATATTTTTAAATAAATTATGATCTCAAATTTTATATTAAATATTAAAA